ATTACACAACTCGTCCGGTGGTAGAGAGCTATTCATATTAAGCCAAGATATATTGTCAAGTTCCTCAATTAGTTTACCCCGATCATACCTATGAAAATTATACTTTCCTAAGGGCTTCTTAGAGAGTTTATTTGATTTTTCAACGATTATCTCAGAACTAATTGTTAGCGCAGGATGGTATGAGTCTAATTTGACTAGGGGAGAATTATTTCTAGTGACTATGCAGTCGAACGATGAGAACACTAGGTCCAAAATTCTATCATATACGTTACGAACTTGATTATACTGCAGCAGGTTGTTAGAATTCGCAAATGTAGTTAGATTCTCCGCTTTAGCATTACATACTCTGTTATCGTAGTTAGAAAAAGCTGGGGTGTTAAAATCACCCATGACAATCAACGATCCAACATCCATGACATCATGCAGAGAGAGTGCTTCCAGAAAGTCACCAACTATTTGCTCATGAAGGTCAGGTGGGACGTATAGTACTAATATGTTAATTATTATGCCTTTATCAATTATTGAAATCCCAACCAGGTCTATTTGTGGAAATAAGAGTAATATATCATTAAAGTTAATAGATTTGATGTTAAAATAATTTCTACAGGCTATTAAAACCCCACCGCCTGACTTTCTGAATGTCTCTCTCCTATCACACCTAAAAACAAAATATTCTTTGTCATTAAATAATTCATTACAATAGATACCTGGTTTTAGCCAGGTTTCGGTTAGTACATAAAAATCATATTCAGGTACTATAGTTTTAAAATATACTTCTCTTAATTTAGATCTTAACCCTCTGACGTTCTGATAAAATATATTGAAATTGCTTATTAAGGTGTGGCATATTGAGACACGTTCGGCGTCGATGCGAGAAGTTGACGGTTGTGAGTGGTTATCATCGGAGCTCCATTCCTCGTGACTATCTTCAGGTTCAACTCTCCCTGGGCTTTGCGTCGAGTGAGCTCGGTCCGAAGATCCTTGTATTCTATACGTTGCCGGTTCGTTCTGTCCTTGGTAATTGATAATTTCAGAATTGAGTGAATTACATTTGCTTGATGTTTCGATTTCTGCAACCCGTTTATTAGTAAATCAACGTGTTGCACTTGTGAAAGAAAGACCTTAACAGGTCTTGGCAAAGCTAAGGACGATGAGAATTTACCGATTCGAGTACATCCTTTACTACTGATACCAGGAGCTATACTATTGCATAGATCATTGATTGCTTTTGCGTCATATTCTTGACGATCATTAGGCGACTCCAGATTCGATTCATCAACTCCATAGAAAATTGCGTTACATTGTCTAGAAATACGATCTTCCATTTCCATCAGTATAGCGTTATCATCAGTATTTCGTGCAATATTCTTTAGTGACTCAGATACTGAGGTAATATTCTTGGAATTGTTGTTGGTTGCAATTTCCAGTGCTTCAAGCTTGGTACTCAATTTGTCTGCTCTATCTTCAACAGCGTCTAACCTTTTGATTATTGCGTCAGTGTTAGTGTCGACAGAAACACGCAGTGAATTTATATTTTGTGAGACAGTTTCAATTTCAGATTTAATTTCAGCTTTGATGTTTGTACTAAGTTTTTTGTTTTCAATTTCTAACAGATTACGAATATCCTCCAATGATAAGGTTTTCTTGGGACCGCAGCATCTTTGGAATCCCCCTCCCGGTAGAACTGTTGTATTTTTGGCACAACTGGGATGATATAATGCGGGGCATTTCGGGCACTTAATTTGCTCAGTTGCTATGTTGCTGGAACATCCTTTACACTTTTTGGTTGGAGTATTATTATTTGGTGTTGACGTCTTATCGTTTCCCATTTTGATTGATGCTAAACTTCAATGGGTAGATATCAAAGTACAAGTATCAATGAGTAACATAAAACTCCGCCAGATGGCGGACTATGCCTTATGTTAACTAAAAATGCCAATAATAGTAATTGCAAGGTTATCGGATTACTCTGATTAAACAAAAATATGTTTCACTAACAAATAATGAATGCACTTCACTTATCCAATTAATAGATGACAAAAAATTGGTATCTTTGATATACATGTAACTTGACACACTGTTTTATGAACTCCAGTAATTTTCCAATTAACTAATTCAGATTACACTGATGTCAGCAAAGCGGTTGCATGTATGCTTGGACAAAAGACTTCATATAACTATTTTAAATTTCGTTTAATATATAAAAAACAAAAAAAAAAAATTTATCCAAAATGAGAAACAGTGTATACGAAAGAATATTCCCCACTTCCAAGAATTAATAAAGAATTTTAACACCTTATTGCACAATTATTACAGACTTATAGAACGCACTGTTACTTAGTTGCCGCCATCTACAATTTAACGTATCTGAAATTTTATGGAGATTTATCATTTCAATTGTAGATCAAGTTACGTTGAATATGATGATATATAATATTAATTGAAAAAAAATTTACTACTTCAAAGTAGTAATTTTCTATCTGTAAAATTACAATTGTTAATTACTGTGTACAGACAGTAATCAATAAAGTGCTAAAAGAATCTGATGTTTTATGGTGGTTAATTAAATATTGATTAATCAGTTTCTATCCAAAATAATTTATGCTAAAAATTTTATCAGTTATCGAGTTTTAGAATAAATTATTGCCACAAAATATTATCAAGTCAAGGGTTAAAAGTTAATAAACTACTGTGTACACCCAGCCATTAATAAAATGCCAGAAATATCTGATATTTTATGGTGATGAATAATTTTAACATTTTGTAATGATTACTTATTTTCTATGCTAATTAATTTATGCCAGAAATTATATCAGGTAATTATTTTCAGAAAAGAATGTTGTCAAGAAATATTTACAAATCTTCAGTATAATAAAATCAATCAATTATTGTGTTTAGTATTAATATGTATAGACCACCAGTTATTAATAAAATCCCGAAGTATCTATTATTTTATGTTAATCAATTATTTTTTATGCCAATTAATTTATGTTAAAAATTTCATTAGATAATTAGTTGTAGATGAAATGATTGCCACTAAATATTTTTAGACAAGAGTAATTAAATAAATCAATTACTGTGTACACCCAGTTATTAATAAAATGCCAGAAATATTTAATATTTACGGTGGTTAATCATTTTGGGTATAGACCAATTTACGTTGAATATGATTCAAAAAAAAAATTATCGCTTCAACGGAGTTATTTTTAATCTGTAAAATGACAATTGTTAATTACCGTGTACAGACAGTAATCTGAAAATACTGAAATTGTCATATCATATATTGATTAATTATTCCCTATACAAATCAATTTATGCCACAAATTATGTCAGACAATTAGTTTTAGAAGAAATTATTGCCACGAAATATTTTCAAGACATCAGTTAAATTGAATAAATCAATTATAGTGTTCACCCAGTTATTAATAGTGCCAGAAGTATCTGATATTTATGGTGGTTAATAGTTTTGGGTATAGATCAATTTACGTTAAATATATTGGTTTAAAAAAAATTATCGCATCAAAGTAATTATTTTTAATCTGTAAAGTGGCAACCGTTTATCACTGTGTACAGACAGTAATTAAAGAAATGCTGAAAATAATATGTATCCAATATTGATCAATTATTTTCTATTCACATAAATTTATGCTACGAATTTTATCAGACGATTAGTTTTAGAAAAAATTATTGTTACGAAATATTATCAAGTCAAGGGTTAAATTTGAATAAATCAATTACTGTGTATACCCAGTTATTGATAAAATGTCAGAAGTACCTGAAATTCTATGGAAATTAATCGTTTCAAGCGTAGATCAAGTTATGTTGAATATGATAATATATAATAATAATTAAAAAAAATTTACTACTTTAAAGTAGTAATTTTCAATCAGTAAAATTTCAATTGTTAATTACTGTGTACCGACTGTAATTAAGAAAGTGCTAAAAGAATCTGATGTTTCATGGTGGTTAATCATTTTGGATGTAGATCAATTTACGTTGAATATATTGGTTTAAAACCAAAGTTATCGCTTCAAAGTTGTTATTTTTAATGTGTAAAATCACAATTATAAGTTACTTTGTACAGCTAGTAATTAATAAAATGCTGAAATTGTCTTATATTGAATATTGATTAATTATTTCCTTTACAAATCAATTTATGCCACAAATTATATCAGACATTTAGTTTGAGAAGAAATTATTGGCACGAAATATTTTCAAGACAAAAGTTAAAGTAAATGAATCAATTACTGTGTACACCCAGTTATTAATAAAGTACCAAAAGAATCTGATGTTTTATGGTAATAAATCATTTTAAGTGTAGATTGATTCATGTTAGAAATTATAATATATAATATCCGTTGAAAAAAATTATCGCTTCAAAGTAGTTATATTTAATCTGTAAAATGACAATTGTTAATTACTGTGTACAGACAGTAATTAATAAAATCCTGAAATTGTCTTATATTAAATATTGATTAATTAATTTTTATGCCAATCAATTGATGCTAAAAATTTCATCAGATAATTAGTTTCAGAAGAAATAATTGCCGTAAAATATTTTCATGACACCAGTAAAATTAAATAAATCAATTACTGTGTACACCCAGTTATTAATAAAATGCCAGAAGTATCTGATATCTTGTGGTAGTTAATCATTTTGAGTTTAGATCGATTTACGTTGAATTTATTAGTAAAAAAAAACTATCGCTTCAAAGTAGTTAATATTAATCTGTAAAATGACAATTGTTAATTACTGTGTACAGACAGTTAATGATTAAATGCCGTAAGTATCTGACATTTCATGGTGATTAACTATTGTAAGTGTAGATTAATTAACGTTGAGTATATTGGTTTAAAAAAAAAATTATCGCTCCAAAGTATTTATTTTTAATCTGTAAAATGATAATTATTAATTACGGTGTAACAAGGAAACAAGTTATTAATATAATTATTAATAACAAGTTATTAATTTTAAGTAGTTGTAGAGAAATAATTTTTTACTAAAGACAATCTTGGCACATCTGTCTTCCAGTATCTGTTTTTTTAAAGCAAATTTCATAACAAAATTTACAACATTTAAAGCACGGTAACATGTTTGCACGCTTGCTTATGTTGCACATTTTGCAGTACCATTCTGCAGTGCTTGTTTTATGTTTTTTTGATTGATGCAACTTCATTCCTCGCTTGCGTTTACCTGCTTTTGAGGATTTAGGTTGCAGGGTATCCTGATTAGTGGCTGTGTTGGAGTTGGAGTTGACGGGTGCTGGCACTTCTATAGAAGTTATTTTATCAATAGCAGCAGGTAAAGTATTTTTCTGATAATCATTGGCGAAGTTGTTTTCACTGGCTTTTTGGCTGGAGTGGACTCCAGGCGATTGCTCTTTGTTCAATGTTCGCTCATCAGCAACAGTGGACGGACTTGTTCCTTGGCCAGCATCGGCATACTGGTTTCCAGCGTCCGTTGCATTTAAGTTTCCTTCGAGTGCAGGCTCCTTGTTAAATGTCTTCTCATTAGAAGCAATGGGCAGGCTGATGTTCTGAGAATTCGTAGCATCCTCACTTTGATTGCCATCTAGACTGGTGTTGACTCCAGACGGTGTCTCGTGAGATGGCTCTGTATTTTCAACAGCAGACGGACTCGGTCCTTGGCCAACATCGGCATCCTGGTTCCCAGCGTCCGTTGCATTTAAGTTTTCTTCGAGTGCAGGCTCCTTGTTAAATGTCTTCTCGTTAGAAGCAATGGGCAGGCTGGTGTTCTGAGAATTAGTCGCATCCTGATTGACTGTTTGGTCAGAGTGTAGTTTAGGCAGTGGCTCTTCACGATGTTGACGATTATCACGAGCGCTTTCCTGAGAAAATGAAGTACCACAAGTGTGAAGGTCTCTGTCATAATCATCAACATCCTTTGGCTCCTCTGACTCATTTCTAGGAGCATTTTTTATAAATTTTTTCAATCTCTTAAAAACGCGTGATTGTTGTTTCTGACGCTTCTTTGAGTTATCAGACATATCATCCCTACCCTAAAAGAAAACAAAAAACAATAAAACTTAAAAAAGTAAAAAAATTAATTTTAACGTTAAAATCAAAATAAACTTACATATTTAGCTATTTTTCTGATTTTTCTCTGGCGTCGACGTCTTTCAATCAAGGAGCTCAGATCTTCGATGGAACTACTAGAAGATTCATGATCTAGATTTATTTGTTCGGCTGATTTTTTAGATTGTTTATGATGTTGACGACGATTTTTAAGCGCGCTTTCAGCAGGAGTTGAAGTACCGGAAGTTTCATGATCTCCTTCATGGTCGTCAACTTTATTTTGGTTCTTTTTCTTGTTTTTTTGAGCACTTTTATTTAATTTTTTTGGTCTGTTACTCGCGTGTGATTGTCGCTTGGGGCGCTTGTTTGAGTTATCAGACTTATCATTATAATCCCTGCCCTGAAAGAGATGAAACAATGAAACTTAGAAACTTAAAAAATTAATGTTATCTTTAAAACTAAAATTAACTTACATATACGGACTGATGATTGTGTAGGACATTCAAGTTGTCCATTTGAAGATATTTTTTTTCACGGCAATGAACAGTAAACATAGCAGGACAAAGTTCAGGGTCCTTTCTGTTAACAAAAAATAAGAATGAGGAAAGTAATGATTGAGTACTACTATTTTAAAAATATCACAGTTATAAAGAATGAACGATACTAAAAGTTAAGAAGCATCAAAAATATTTTTTTAACTGTTTTTAACAGCTCAACGGCGGTAAAAAATTTAAACAAACTGTAATTGTTAAAATTAAAAAAAAATTATCGATAAAACTTTTAAAAATCTGTGTATTTTTTACTAATTTCTTTCTGAAAGGAAGCAAAAAAAGTTATCAAGCGTCAATTTATTTTTATATTGTAATTTAGAAATTAAAATGTTAATTACATTGTGTGGATAATTTATATAACCTTAAAAAAAGAACATTGTATTTTATAAAATATTTTTGTACTCACTTGAGATCTTCAGTACGATTTTTCCACGATTTAGGCCCAAATTTACAGATGTACCGAATATAATAATATTCGAATTTAGGGTGAATACCATTAACTTTGCATGTCGCCAATGATGTCGAATTGTTGACATTGTATTCATGTCCAGATAGCAATTCGTGATATTTTAAAGAACGAAAGAATTCCGCGTAGTTATCATATTTTGAGGACTGCAGAAAAGCCTTTGGCAATGACATTTTTTCCTTTTATATCGAGTGCAATAAATGAAACAATAAAAGAGCAATGTAGACACGTGAATTTTACAAGAAATTAAGTAAGAATAGTTCCGAACAAAGTAAATTATCTTAAAGTTCTCATGTACGCGACAAGTTACACGAAAAGAAGCTAGAGGGAACCACGTTAAGGGGAATGCACATGAATATGTAAACACCAAGAATAGTAACCATGAGATTTGATGTACGTCTTGCGGGCGCCAAAGTAAATTCAAATTATAAAATTTAAAATCAAACAACACAAGTAATATGTAATAATAACTAATAATAACACACACTAATAATAACTCTTAAAACCACAAAAAGTTGCATAAAAATCACAAAACAGAAGAAGTAAAAATTTTTCGTAGGAATAAATTTTTTTATAGAGCAGTTATCCATTCAAATTTGATGTTAAAAACGGCTTCCACAGAAAATATTTAATGAACAAGAAGTATTAAATATTTTAATCTTCCCATTAATAACTGTATGTCCACAGTATTGAATTACTTGCCTTTAACAGTTAATCATTAAATATTTCGTAGCGATAACTTCTTCTACAATTAATTATCTAATATAATTATGGGGAAAAATTGATATCTGCACTAAAAATGATTAATCACCATAAAATATTGAGTTTTTTTTGGGATTTTATTAATAACTGGGTGTACGCAGTAATAAACAATTGTCATTTCACAGATTAATAATAACTAGTTGAAGCAATAACTTTTTTTCAAACCAATATTATATATTATTTTTATTTTATATGTACCTGCCTATCCGATCCTCTATTACTAAATCAATTGATTCGTCGTTTCTATTGGTCTATTGGTAAGGTAAAACAACAAGTGTTTAAACGCCGCTAAAAATGAAACCAGGTATTTAATACATTGTCGTAAAATTATTAATATAACACTTAGTATTTATTATAAATAATAAGTGTATTACGTAGCAATTAAGTCATCAAAAATTTTATCTCAGAAAAATTACCGTCTGAGCGGCTAAAACAATTGCCGATCAATTCAAAGATGGCTGTTCTATGCTTCTTTGTTATTTCTGAATTCTTGAATACTATAACGAGTTTGTTTGGGTTATTAATTTTTTTTTCGAACTATTGTTTATTGTTATAACGAAATTATCAATTTTTAAATATTTTTTATTCATGGAAACTCAAAGAGCAGATCGAGAGAAATGGCATTGGAAAGGTTTTGCTTATCATCGAGACCACAAACCTTACCTGCGAAAGGATGGTGTTGTTGTGAAGTAATTCTAAATTTTAAGACTTAGTCTTTATGTGTCTGAACTTAATCTCCATGTTTTATACTCTTCTAGAAAATTTAAATAAGTAAGTAAGTTTTGTCTTGTTAATTTAAATGTTGTTCAACAGCTACGTGAAATGTGTACGTGACAAGAAAGGATGTACAGCTCGCGGAACATTCATTAATAACGTGTATACTCAAACATCAGAGAAGGGCCACAATCACTTTGGAAATGAAGATTTGCCAGTTAAAGACAGAATGCTTGATAATTTGAGGAAGTATAGTTCCGTTCCATTCTTAACTCCTAGCCAAATTTATGAATCTGCCGTTTCAAAGTAAGTAAAACATCCATTATGTAATTTTTAATCAGAGTATAATCATTTTATAAACGTTTTGATCTCAAAAAGAAACTTTTTCTTCTGGAAGAATGATTTATATGAATTAATTTCATTTCTACTGTGGTTATACAGTAAAATTTTTATTTTTCTTAATGAGAAATGATTTTTATCGAATGACTGCAGTGACGTTCATTGTTGCGGATATGCAGTAATTGATAACTTTAATTCGACTGATTATTTATAATCATAAAGATTATTACGATATTTTGTATTTAGAGAAAAAGAACCAATTATTCTACGCTAATATTCTTTATTAATTTATTACAAATATTAAAAATTAAGAAAATTACTCATCCAGAGCCATATAAAGTTATTTATGTTGATCACACATTTTTTAAGGATTTTTCTAAAATAAATTTTTACAAATCGATAAGACCCGGTTCAAAAACAGGAGATCCACAAGTTACTGATTTAAAATGTCTTAAATACGATTCAACTGGGCTGTATTATAAACTAGATTACCAGAACGATTGGACCTTATTACCTCAAACAAAATCAAGAATAAATGTAAATCGAAAAAATATTATCACTCCGTTATATAAAAAACCGATTTCTATTACATCAAGAAAATTCAAAGATTTGCAAAGTTTGAAAAGATTGCTACCCCAAGATTATCATAATTTCTATGATCAATTAAAAGTTGAATCTACTGTAGAAGAATAAGTTTAAAAAATTGTAAAATTGATCCTTACTTCTTAGTTCTAGTTATTGTTCAAGTTATTTCTTATTACTTATTTTTCAGATTATCCTGCTGTTAATTTGTACATTATTCAATAAATTGTAAACATATTTGAAAAAAATAATTAAATCATATTATAAATAGTAATCATATGATTTATAACACATTAAATCAAAATCAAATGAATTTGTTTTAATTAATAAATATAAAATAATAATGAATTGAATGTGAAAGCCTTGCATAACAAAATTTTTCGCCAATGATCTTATAGAAAAAAAAAATTTTTTTTAATTTCAAAACCTCGTATCTGCAAAAAAGTTACCAGGGTATTTGATGAAAAAACTCGTATCTACGTTAAATTGATGATAACAACAAGGTATCGATGCAGATAGCAAAAATGATGTTTAATTATTTTAAGACGATAAATAAAGAGTATAAATTTTAAATTAGTTATAACTTTTTATGAAAATTAAGTAACTCTATACGTTTTTATCGATTTACTGAAAATTAAGATTTTTTAGATACGAGGTTTACACAGAAACGGGACGATTCTGGTAAATAATAATAATAATAATAATCATCATCATGGTAAGTGTAATAATTATTAAATGACTTAATGAAAGGTTGAAAGTAATAAGTAATAAGAAAAGACATTTCACAAGAATCATTGCTGTAATTAATTGTTATTAAATTATTATCTACACTGATATGACTATTATGCAGTAAGTACTCAGATGTATGCTATACATTCATACATACATATATATATATATATATATATATATATATATATCGGAAAAATATATTCGAATTTAGATCTATTATGTTTCCAACGTTTCTTACAGTAATATGAGTGCCCTTTTTATAAAGATTAACCATTACAAATCTTGATAATTAAGTTTTTTTAATTTCAAAAAAATATAAATAAAACGCTTTTGTATGTCATAAAAGTTGATTAATTCTGATTGGTCGGTATAAGGCAGTTGAAAAGTCTTGTGATAAATTGATTTGAGTAAAGTTGAGAATTTCTTTACATATAATTTCAATCATATTGTAATTATTAATAGTCACCATATATTGTTTATGTAAATATATTGTTTTTCAGCAAAAAGTTGAGAAAATAATTTAGCAAATGTCTGAGAAGTTGAAATATTTTTTTTTTATATTTTATGTAAAAAGAAAATTTTAATAGCAATTATCAGTTTTTAACAATAAAAATTGTTTAAGTAATACTAAAATATGAAATTTTCTTATCTAACTCATTGTATTTTTGAAGAAAGTCGGACAAAAAGAAACCATCATCGAAATTAATGAAAAATTTTTAGTCATTCAAATCATGATTCTTAAAATCTTGTCTCAAATTGAAAAAAAATTAACATTATGTCAAATTTCCAAAATAAACTTTCACTTTTTTTTTGTAATTATTTTCAAGTCAGTGAATTGTTCTTATTTTAATCGTCCATTAATATAAAATTCCATCTCCGCTGTTTTTCAATGTATTTATTTTGTATATGGGGTATTCCATGCCAAATCGACCACTTTTGAACCCGACCCCTTTAGATTCAGCTGAAACTTTACTATTCTTTTCTACCCTTTGAAAGACATTTTTGAGAATTTTTTCAAATTTTTTTATCCAACCCAAAAAAAGTTATGAATTTTTCAAAAAAATGGCTTTTTTATTTTCAAATAGCCATAACTTTTTTGAAAATTGACTTTTGGGTACCTTTTTTTTTTTAAATTTTTGTTTTTGAATGAACTTTTCGAAAAAATACACGAAAAAAATTTAACATGATCAATTATATAAAATAATCGGTTTTTTTTAAGTAAAATCGTCATTTTTTCGAAGTCTGTAATTTTCTTTATTTTTTTTTTTTTTTTCTCAAAAAAAACTTCAATCAATTTGACAACTATTCCCGTTCATCCCGGACAGGGCCGATTTTTTTGATTTAATTGAAAAAAAAAAAAAAAATTTTGACAATTTGACAATTTTTTTTTTCAATTACATAAAAAATATATGAAAAAAATCGGCCCTGCCCGGGATGAGTGGGAATAGTTATCAAATTGGTTGAAGTTTTTTTTGATAAACAAAAATAGAAAAAAAAGTGACGAACTTTGAAAAAATAACGAGACTTTTTACATGATCAGTTATTAGTTTGATGAAAACATGAACAGCAACGGCATCGTGATTATTACAGTCTGAAATAATTACTAAACTATTGTGTTCAAATTCATCATTTACTTTGTAATAAATAATCAGCGGAAAAACTGTTGCCTGGTTATTATTCCAGTGAAAACCAGATACTGCATTTTGTACTACGAACGCGTAATTCTCTGCAAAATCACAAATAATGACAAATTCATTTGGTTTCAGTGTTTCTTTCAATGTTTTCAAAAATTTGGCTTGTTGTTTAGCAATAAACGAGTGAGGTAAAAGAACTTTTAATTCACTACAAATGTTTTCAATAAATTCTTCTGTCGGCTTGATAAAAGTTTCCAAACTACTTCTCGGTTTTCATATCCAATACTTATACGTAATATTCTTGATCTCCTGATTCTCAAAACATGTTAGTAGAATGTTACTCAACTCATCTACCCCTGGACAGTTGTTACATCCACCCAAATAACATTGCACCGATGGAGTCTCACAAA